GAAGATGGCAACGATCAGCGGAGAAAAGTCGAGATGGAGAGTCGGCCGATGGAGAGAGGGTGCAATTAGGTTTAACGGGTTTGAGTACGGTATTATTTGTCTATTTGATATTTGAGTAATAAATAAAAATATAAAATCTTAGTTCCTAAGTTTAGAGTGCTTAACCCGTCGGGTCAGACCCGACCCGATACCACAGTAGGGAGGGGGCTGGGGGGCTGGGGTGGGGGGTTTAGGGGGAGGGTTAGGGGGTAGGAACCGCCATTTTTACAAACGGAGCACTGTAGGTACACTAAACGAACTAGTGTAAGCAATAAGACTAGTAGCACTAGTGTCATTTTAGATTTACCGTGTGTGTGTGTATACACACACACACATATATATAGACACACACACAGGTGTGTTAATGCGCACACACATACAATCACTTTCTTTGCATGCATACGGTTGATTGACGTACCTCAAGCTGATGAAGGTTGCGAGGGCGAGGACGGCCAAACTCCCGATCTCAATGTTATTGACATTGTGCAAAGTTTCAGACTCCAGGTACAAATTAAAAGAGGCTAGTTGGGGTTATAATCTTCTCAATATATACTCTGCTTTGTATTCCATTATTTCTTGAGTAATACAATTATTCCATTATTCAACAGTTTGTATATAGTTTTTCTGCTTATGGCCAATGTTTCCATATACGCTAATAATATAATGTAATGGTCATGAGGTTCCTAATTAAAATTATCGCTTTGTACGTAGCCGGTACGTGGTCTTTATGAGAGGGAATTTATAGCATCCATTCAGAAACTAGTAAATGATTTGACGCCTCAGTTGAATGACGAAGAACAAGCTCTACTCAACATAAATATTGAACCAGTAACCGAGTACCTGCTCTCAAAGCTTCAAGATTTGATGTTGTAAGTTAATTAGTTAGTTAGTTCTTTATTGACTGTATCATTAGTTACTATGGCCTTGTTTGGGAACAACAGTATCAATTAACATTAGCATTTTGGATAAAATTTTAATGGTATAGACTAATTCTCAAAACACTAACGCAGATCTCTAACGCAAGCTGATGTCAAACGGGGCCTATGTTGTTTTAGTCACACCGTTAATTAGTTCAACGCCGTACCCGGAAAGCTTGCTTTGAACACAATTAACTTGTTGGTTTTGTCGTCGTCGTCTTTGTATATATGTACGTAGTTATGTTGGGGCGAAGGTGGGAGTCCGGTGTTTGCTTACTACGAGGAAGGCACCCCCATATTCATCTACATTGCCCATTGTCTCAAGAAGGTGGACAACTAATTAACTCATCCATCTCTATGGTGCATGATAGTGTTCAATCGCAATTTATTAAAGACGTTGTATGCTTTCATGTATCTCTAATTTCCAATGTTTCTTCTTGTTATTGCTTATGTGCATGAATGTTAATATTTCTTTCTTGTTGTATCTTTTTGAATTGCACTCAAGATTATGATTGATTTTGGTCTCAAAATTTAAGAAAACCGCAACTTTTTTTATCTATAAATGTCTTACTTCCTCCGTCTAAAAAGATGCTTAATTTATCTATTTAAAATGAATGAGATTTTCCTTCAAAAAAATGAATGAGATTTTTTTGTGATAATACATGTTGTCTTTTTGAATTCTAATTCAGTTGGTGTTTCTCTGTGTGGGTATTACTCATATATTACTTATAAGTAGTTTTTAACTTCTAAGCTGTTTATAAGTTAAAAATTCTTTCATGTAGAATACACGACTTAAATGACATTTAAGTCATTTGGAGATATTCATAATAGGTGAGTAATAGTTTTTCTACGTCAAAATGAAGAAATAAAAAATTGACTAAAAAAAGTAAGACTTATTTATTTTTTCTAGTTTATAAGTAATTTATAAGTCAGCTTAAAAATTTGCACAGAGGAACACATTATATGATGATTTTTAAGGTAAAAAAAGATAGAGAAACATTCACCCAATACTATATGAGGAATTGATACCGTACAAGAGAATATGGATGATCCGAGCATTAACCCGACACGTACACGTCCAAGAAGGAACGTCAGGCCACCCCAACGATACCGAGATTATGTTTAATACCTTCTTATTATTTTAATATTTTGTAATCTAGATTTTTACTAGGTGAGCGATTTATAAGCTCCTTCGAGGGTTTCTTTTCGATTCTTTACCTCGATGTTTTTTTTAATTGACAGGATAGCAAACTAGTTTAATTAGGAATGGGGAAACCCTAGCTTCTATTTAAAGGGAGTGTTTACCCTTGCCAATAATAAGAAACTAATTATTCCCCAAAACCCTAGCCTCTTTTCTCTCTTCCCTCTCCTGTAACTCTCCCTGACGCGCAAAGGCGGCACCTTCTCCTTCTTCGCCAACTGATCCCCGCGGAAGTTGGGTATCAACTGGTGATCTCATTGCTGTTCTCATGGCTTCTTCCGATAATAACTCTGTCTTGACAAAGCTCGTGTCACAGAGCTAATCGTCCAGAGGACCAGCAGCACCACGGCATACTGCTGCCCTAAGGCTAGCGTTCGCCTCCATCTTGCACGACTACCAGGACAACAGATCCTATACCCCGGATGCGGGTTGATGCACCGCGATTCAACGGGGAAGACCCTACAGGTTGGATTTTTCGTATTCAAAAGTACTTTGATTATTTTATAATGCCGGAGTATGAGCGTCTCTATCTTGCTGCCATGCTTATCGACCACCCGGCTTCGGAATGGTTCCATTATTACCAAGCAAATCACTGTGGCGCTACGTGGGCGGACTTCCTATTGGCCGTACATCAACGTTTTGATCTGAGCTACTATGAGAATTACGTTGGGTTGCTGTTCAAACTCACTCAAACCGGTTTAGTAATGGATTATTATATTAGTCGTCTTTTGAAGCACTTCTCAATAAGATCGTCGGGGTGCCTGAGTCAACCTTGGTTGCTATGTATGTTGCGGGGTTGAAACAACGAGTACAACGGAGGTCTATCTCCGGGGACCTACTACTCTACCCGCGACATTTGCTTTAGCCCGCGAATTGTCGGCATGCCATCAAGAGTCCGCAGCGTCTCTCCTGGCCATACCTCGTCGTGCATGGCCTTCACGCACAGCCCCTGGGTCACCTTCGCCGCCGCCTTCTTCCGGTCTTCTGCTCACCCCGACCACGGCTCTACGGCTGTCCTCGGGGTCTGTTCGCCCACCAGATAGGGCTGCCAACTCGCACCTGTCCGTTGTTCGCTTGTCGGCCACTGAAAAAGCAGAACGTAACAAGAAAGGCCTTTGTTGGTATTGTGACGAGAAGTGGATACCGGGCCACAATTGCAAACACCGTTTTCTCGTTCTCATGGGTCCCAATGATGAAGAGGACACGCCAGACTCGTTAGACCATACCCTGCCAGACGGCGAGGCCTCTCTTATTACCGCGGATATCTCGAGTGTTTATTCTCGCTCCGGCAGCCCGAGCCCCCATGCTTTGAAATTGGTAGGGTCTTTTAACAATGTCTCCGTCTAGGTACTCCTCGACAGTGGCAGTACGCACAATTTTATACATCCCAGGGTGGTGGAGAATCTTGCCTTGTTATTGCATCATGTCCCTCCTTTTCGGGTTTACGTCGGGAACGGAGATTCATTGCGCTGTGCGTATTCTTTCCCGAAGACACCGTTACTCCTACAGGACCATTTGTTTCCAGTGGATCTTTATCTCTTAGAGGTCCATGGTCCAAACGTTGTCTTAGGCATACAATGGCTCCAAACTCTTGGACGGGTTTCACATGATTATGGTAATATGACAATGTTCCAACCAGTTACTCTTCGTGGGGATGTTCCGGGGCCTAAACTGATTTCATTTGGGCATCTCTGTACTTTGGCCTCAACAACCAAAGTGGTGGAATTTTATGAGGTCGTTCCCGCGCATTTGCCCGACGTGGTCGCATCTGAGGTTGCCCCGTCTCTGCCCACGGATCTGCCAGCTATTATTCGCGAGGTGCTCCCTTCCCACCACGTGGTTTTTGGGGTATCTACTTGCCTACCACCTGCCCGGGCATGGGATCACCGTATTCATTTGGTTAATGGTGCCCCTATCACTACCCATACTTTCAGACGTCGGAAATTGAGCGACAAGTGTGGGAGATGTTGCAGCAAGGGCTTATCTGTCACAGCCAAAGCCCTTTCTCTTCCCCCGTTTTACTTCTCCGTAAGAAGGACGGTATGTTTCGTTTTTGTGTCGATTATCGAGCACTTAACGCTGCCACCATACCGAACCATTTTCCCATTCCAACCGCGAATGAACTTTTTGACAAATTGGGCCAGGCTGAGGTGTGCACTAAGTTGGATCTCCATTCGGGCTACCACCAAATTCGAATGCACGATGCTGATGTCTTTAAAACTGCATTTCGTACGCATGAGGGCCATTATGAATTCTTGGTGATGCCCTTTGGCCTTACAAATGCGTCGTCGACCTTCCAGGCAGCCATGAATCAACTCTTCTGGGTGCACTTGTGCAAATTTGTGATTGTGTTTTTTGATGATATTCTGGTTTATATCCCTACAATTGCGACGCATGCGGACCATCTACGCACCGTCTTAGCGACCGTTCAAGAAAATCATTTTTTTGTGAAGTCCAGCAAATGCTCCTTGTGTCAAACAACTATTGGTTATCTTGGACATCTCATCACTGCCAGTACACTCAAACCCGACCCCGATAAGATCGCGGCAATAACAGCTTGGCCTTTACCTTCCACCGCGACCCAGTTACGTGGGTTTCTCGGCCTCACAGGGTACTACCGGCGATCTGTGGCCGGGTATGCGGTTATCGCAGCGCCACTAACGGATCTTTTGAGGAAGGACAATTTCCAGTGGTCACCTACTGCCTCTGCCAGCTTCGAACGCCTAAAAGAGGCCATGACCACAGCCTCGGTTTTGCGGCTCCCCGATTTCCGGCAAACTTTTTATGTGGAGACCGATGCGTCTGACACGGGAATTGGGGCGGTTCTCTTGCAACAAGGACACCCCGTTGCATTCTTTATCAAAAATCTTGGTTCGCAACGTCGGGCGACATCGACGTATCACAAAGAACTCTACTCCATCGTGGAGGCGATACAAAAATGGCGCCAATACCTCCTCGGGCGTGAGTTCGTCATTCGCACGGATCAACGCAGCTTAAAATAGCTTTTACAACAGGTCATACAAACCCCGGAACAACAATTTTATATCCAGAAATTAATGGAATACAAATTCCGCATTGAATACAAACGGGGTTCGGCGAATCGGGGCGCGGATGCCCTATCTCGGCGTGAAGAGGAGCTGGACACAGCCGCTTTCCAGGCCTTCTCTGTCCAGGCCATTCCAAAGCTCATGGATGCAATTCAGAAAGAAAATAACACACTTCCGGACTTACAGACACTGCATGCGTCCGTCCAAGCTGGTTCGGCCCCTGCCGAGGTTAGTTCTCACGCCGGGATCCTTTATTATAAACGACGTATCTATATCAGCCCCTCTTCCTCCTTGCGGGATCAGATTTTGAATGAATTCCATAGCACCCTAATGGCGAGTCATCAAGGGGTTGATCGGACGTTTTGTCGGATCGCCGATGTGTTCTACTAGCCGGGTCTCCGTCGCGAGCGTACGCGGCTTCTTGTCCGGCATGCCTGGCTACAAAGTACTCGACCCAGAAGCCCGTCGGGTTATTACAACCCCTTCCCATTCTGGCACAGGTTTGGGATTCAACCTCCATGGATTTTGTGACGGGTGTGCCCCCATCCCGTGGCTTCATGGTAGTTGTCGACCGGTTGTCAAAGTATACTCATTTCGGTCCTTTAGCAGCAGGTTATGATGCTCCAAAAGCCGCTAAGTTTTTTGTTGAGATAGTGGTGAAGCATCATGGTTTTCCAGGGGATATTATTTCCGACTGCGACCCAATATTCTTAAGTCTGTTTTGGAAAGAGCTGCTGCGATTGAGTGGTTCCTCGTTGAAGTATAGCACAACGTATCACCCCCATAGAGATGGTGAAACCGAGGTTGTTAACCGAAGCTTGGAACAATATCTACGGGCTTTTACATACGAGCGACCGATGCGCTGGGCAGGTTTGCTTTCTTGGGCAGAGTTAGCTCTTGATTGCAGTTATCACGAGGTGATGGGCATGACACCATTTCA